ATTTTATTTATTCATTTTTAGAGAGGGAAGGGAGGGAGATAAGAGAGAGAGAGAGAGAGAGAGAGAGAGAGAGAGACATCAATGTGTGGTTGCTGGGGGTTATGGCCTGCAACCCAGGCATGTACCCTGGCTGGGAATCGAACCTGGGACACTTTGGTTCCCAGCCCGCGCTGAATCCACTGAGCTACACCAGCCAGGGCTTCCTTTCTTTCTTTATTTTTTTAAAACAATATTCACTAACTCAGACTGGTCTTTCCACAATGTTTCCAGATTCGAACTTGCATTGTATTTCAGAATTTGAGAATTTGGTCCCATTATATTGAGGCAAAAACAGATTTGTCGCAGCTGTCAACGTAAGGGTTGGGACTCTCAGACCTCCACGGGTTTTGCCTTTTGCTTCATCAAGAACAGAAGCCCCAGGATGCTCTTAACTGCTGACACATATGAACTCACCCATATCCACATCTGTCCCTCCTCAGGTCCCGCTTTCAGGTTCCTCAGTCTTAATGACCCTTCACTCTTCCGAATGCATCCTGAACTTGCCCATCTCTACCAGGTCCCGCCCATGAGGGCAGAAATGTGCTGCCAACAAAAGCCCTGCACCCCTGCCAGCTTCATCTCTCTCCCCTCCCCTTCATGGTCACATTCACTGGAAAAGTCTCTGCTTCCTGGCCTCGCACTCACTCCTCAGCCCACCACCTTCTGGCTCTGCCATAGAAACTGATCTCTTGGAGGTTGCCACTGGCCTTCTTGTTGGGGAATCCAGTCCTTCCTTCTCTAACTGGACCTCAGGGCAACATTTGCTTGCTGGCCACTCCCACCCATGGCTTTCGGGGGTGGGGGGCGGTGCCCACTGCTGGTCTTCCTCCACCTTTCTGGGAGGCACCCCCTCAGACCTCTGCACAGGCTTTTCCCTTGCCTCTTCTGCAAACGCTGGTGTTCCCGGCACCCTGTTCTGGGCCCTCTTCCCCAGCTGCGTACACCTCCTGGGTAAGCTCACTGCACCTTGCCTTTGACGCTCACTGATGACTTTCCCATCTCTGTCTCCAGCCCACATCTCCCTCCTGAGCTCCAGACCTCAAGACCCAGCTGCTTCTGGAAGGCACCTTGGATGTCTCCCGGGCACCCCATATTCATCATGTCCGATGAATGTTATCTGTCATGTCAAACCCGCTCCATCTTTGATGTTCAGAGAGTGGCATTACTATCCAAGCAAACATATGAGATTCATTCACGACTTACCTCCCTATCACCCCTTCATCAATCAATCAACCAAACATGAAGTCTTGTCTATTCTACCTCCAAATTATCTCTCCGTCGCTTCCCTCCATCCTTACCCTGGCCCCAGCTACCAGCCTCTCTCACTTGGGTTAGTGGAACCCCCTCCTACTCTCCAGCATCCCTCTAGCCTCTCCCGTTCATTCTTCACACCGAAGCTGGAGAAGTTCCTCTAAGAGACAGGTCAATATTCCATAATCCTCTCCAACGCATGTCACTGCCCACAGGTGAAATTCCAAACTCCTTATCAACAGGCTGTGTTGCTTAATCCGACCAGGCCCATACCTCTGGCCACATCTCTTTCCACAGCCCTCCTTCCTCTTCATGTTCCAACTGCGCTTGACTCTGTCCTGTTGGCTCCTTAGACCCAGCGTTGATTTTTGTCTCTGGGCCTTTGTGCACCCCGTCTCTCTCTCTAGAACACTGTTTGTTCAACTCCCTTGCATTAGAGAAAGCGGGTGTGGAGGTGTGACGGAGTGGACTTTGAAGACAGGCGGACCTGGGTTTGAATTCCAGCTGAAGGTATGACTTTAAGCCTGTTGACCAACCTCTCTGAGTCCCAGTGTTCTCATGCGTAGAAAGAAGAATTATAATGCCTGCTGTGTCTGGCGTGTATTGATTTTTCTTTTCAACTCCATAACTCACCTCCATCTAGCCACTCTCCCGTACTTTTCTGGGAATTTCCCCTTCTTCCCTATCTGTTCAGGGACGGTGGCAGTTCCTGGCAGCTTTGTTCTTACAAACACGACCCACTCCCGACAGGTAACTGGGGCAGAGGACACCTGGTCCAAGCCGGACCCTCAGTCTCGACCTCCTGAATTAGGATTTGGGGCCCAGGAGTCACACTGGAGCCCTGCCTGCATGGCGGGGCTGCAGGGACTCCCAGCAGCTGACAGGAGCTGCGTGTTCATCCCCGTGTGGAAGGGCAGCAGGGGAAGCTGGTCCGCGTCATTGGAGGTGAAAGCAGGTGCCCAGATGAAACGGAGGCCCAGAGAGGAAGAGCGGGTAGGAACAGAGGGTCTTGCACGTCGGACATCGGTGTCCAGTGACCGACTGAGACCAGCTGCCCTGAGCTTGGCAGAAACCCCTGCATCCTTCAAGTGAGAAGATAAATTTATGTTTCTTCAGTAGCTATACTTAATTTGTATTACTCGGAACCAACAACGTTCTAAGTACTTTACCTATCTTACAGGGTTACTGTGAAGGTAAGAAATGAGGTATGCCCCGGACTGATGTGGCTCAGTTGGTTGGGCATTGTCCCGCAAAGCAAAAGGTCACCAGTTCAATTCCCAGTCAGGGCACATGCCTGGGTTGCAGGTTTGGTCCTGGTCAGGGAGCATATGAGAGGCAACAGATCATTTCTGTCCCTCTCTTCCTCCCCCTTCCTCTCTTTCTAAAAATAAGGTAAACAGCCCTGGCTGGTGTGGCTCAGTGGATTGAGTGCCAGCCTGCAAACTGAAAGGTCATTGGTTTGATTCCCAGTCAGGGCACATGCCTGGGTCGTGGGCCAGGTCCCCAGTTGGGGGTGTGTGAGAGGCAACCAACCGATGTGTCTCTCACACGTTGATGTTTCTCTCCCTCTCTTTCACTCTCCCTTCCCCTCTTTCTAAAAATAAATAAATTTTAAAAATCTTTAAAAAATAAAAATGTCCTTTCAGCTCTTTTTATGCATAATTTAAATGTAAATATTAGGTTATACTATACATATTTTATAACATGCTTTTTTCCCACTTCAAATGTATATCATTAACTTCTTTTTGTGTCATTAAAAACTTTTCTACCACCCTTTATATAGATGTACTTTGCATGAACAATTTTCTATTTTTTAATAATCAGTTGTCGCCGATATTTTGCTATCTCTGCTGAAACCACGGTGACGTCTCTGACTCACGTCTCTGTGCACATGTTTGCTTACGGGGTTTCTTTAGGGTGAGTTTCTGCAGCTGGGGCTGTGGGGTCAGGAAGTGCATGGATATGCTTGGGGTAACTTCTGGGAGTGAAATTATGAGGTCCAACTTCAGAAATGCTTTAAGGCTCTTGCTGTATTGTTATTTTGCTCTTTAAAAAAGGCTGCCTTGATTTCCAAGAGCAGGATTTTAGTGGTGGCGAAGAGGAGAGTGGTTCTTTGGCCCTCTCAGGATCACCACCCAGAGGAGAGGGTGGTGGTGTGCACTGGGTCATGGGGACCAGCTCTTGGCCCTGTTCCCTGCCTCCCCTGCACGCTGCAAGGCAGACACCCCTACAGCCCAGGCATTTGGGGCTAATGGAAAGATCACAAGCCTCGGGTTTCAGGTGCGGGGTTCACATTTCACTGGTTAAATGACTTTGGCAAGTCACTTAAGTGTTCTGAGGCCTCAGTTTCCTCATCTTAGTGAGGCTAATTATACCTACTCTGGAATCCTGAACTTCATCTCAAATGTAAAGAGGAGTGCTGGCTGGGTGGCTCAGTTGGCTGGAGCATTGTCCCATGCACTAAAATGTTGCAGGTTCGATTCCCAGGTCAGGGCACATACCTAGGTGGCAGGTTCAATCCCCAGTCTGGGCACAAAGAGGAGGCAACCGATAGATGTTTCTCTCTCCCTTCTGTCTCTCTTCCTTCCTCTTGCTCTAAAATCAATAAACATACCCTTGGGTGAGGATTTAAAAAAGAGTATAAAGGAGTAATAAATCAATTATAAATCCCTATTGTAAGCCATGGATTTGTTCAGCCCCACAAGGAAACAATGGTGTTCGGTATACCAGACTCTGTTTCTGAAGAGATGGTAGAGCTGTGTGGTAGCAAGGCAGGACAGGAGCGACCCCCGCCAAACTCCTCCCTCTGGCCCCACTGTCTGCATCAGTTCTGGGGGTTAGCATGGTGGCTGGCCCACTGCTGGGATTCCTTGGCTTTAATCCACAACCCCTTTCCTCCCCCAAATCCAGGCGGCCCTTGGAGGTTCCCATGACAACAGCACGCCTGGGAAGGACCAGCTTGGGGAAAAACCAGATTTTACTGTTAAAAAAAAAAGAAAGAAAGAAAAAACTGGCCAGAAGCCACAGGCAGGGCAAGCTGGGACAGGGGCTGGTCCTGAGACAAAAGACGGTGGAGGTGTGAGCGCAGGCTCCGAGCTGGGTGATCTGCAGAACAGCAGCTGACATGTTTTGAGCACTTACCACAGCCAGACCCCATCAAATGTGTTGTGTTTGTATTGACTTGTTTGATCCCCACGACAAAACTATGAGGTAGGACCACTATTCTGCCTGCTTTATAAGAGGGGAGACTGGTATGGTGAGGTTAAAAACTGGCAGTCTGCATTACAGACCCCTAGGAAAGCATTCCTTTCCTGTCTGCAGCCTTTGGCAATGGATAGAGGATGGTTTCATTTTATCCTCACAAAAATTCTGCAAGATAAAAATTATCATTGTAATTATTATTATAATTATCTATAAAGATGAGGATCCCAAAGGTCAGAGAGGTTGGGGTCCAAATCACACAGCCAGTAAGTCACAGAGCTGGGATTTGAACCTAGATGTGCCTGAACCCAAAGCCCATGGTCTTTCTTCTGCGAAGGTGCCTGGAAGCAGAGCTGGACCTTGGCGTGTTCACATGGGGAGGCAGGCCATGACGGCTTAGCACAGCTTTCGGGGTATGTGGTGGGGGGTGTTTCTGTGCCTTTAGCACTGTGCCACCCCCTGCCCCACACACCCACAGATGCTTGCACACAGGCACACACTCGCACACGCGAGCACACAAGCCCCAGCCGACTGAGGCTGTGCTCCTCCCAGCCAGGAATGGGCCCGCCTCCTCACAACAGGCTTTCCAGGCAGGTGAGTCTGCCCACACCTGCTTGCTTACCTGGGAGCGGCAGCTAGAAGGCACATCTCCCCACCCCAACTCATTCTGTGTAACCAGGCTCCGGCTGACCAAGGGAGGGAGAAACTTCCAGAGGTCTGCAGGGCCACTGGACCTTTTGGCATTTTTTTTCCTAAACAGAGTGGGGAGCCTAAATTTCAGAGCTTGGAGCCTAGGCTGCTTAAGGTAGGGACGTTTCTGTCATCCTTAAAGGACCCTGTCCCTATTGTTCTTCCAGCGCCCGTTTCTTATTGAATATATTTAATTACTTGTCCTCTGATTTGATCATTTTCTGGATGGTGGCCTTTGATTTTTAGAAGTCTTACCGACCCTGCCGTAAGCGCAGTGGCCTCCTGGCTCACTGTCTGTCTTCCTGTCTCGTCACTGGCAGGCTATTCCATGTTTTGGACTGAGAGCTCACCTCTAAGGTCTCGAAGGAAAACACATTTGCTTAAGATTGGTCATGGCACAGATATCGACACTATGCCTCCCCTCCAAAGGTAGGGTGCACGTCGGGAAGGGAAGCCACATTTAGATTCACCCCTTCCCACCTCAACAAAGACAAGGGAAACGACAGAAGCCTCAGGTTCTGCCAAGTTCCCTCTCAGACGGAGGGCAGAGTGAAGGAAGCCGAGTCGCGGTCCTCTCCCCAACCCCATCAGCCTGACTGCTTCCATCCAGTCCTCTCTGAAGGGCCCACGGTCCAGCCTTAGTACCCGAAACCGGCCTAAGAGGGTTGCCCACCCCGACTTTCTCCCGCAGCCGGCAGACCCCACCACGCCTCAGCACAAACCCCAGTTCCATCCCACGCCCAGCCGGAGAGGATCAGAGACGAAGATTTAGCACGCTACAACCAGCTCCCAGGTTCTCACTGGTGCAGCAGCCGGCCAGGACGCCTTTCTTTAGAGGACGCGGATATCCATCCGCAGGACAGCATGGCCTCCAAAGTGGAGCCGGCGACGGGGAGAGAGGCTGCAGACCCAGAAGAAGGAGAGCCAGAAAGTGAGGAAGTGGGGGCTGGTGGGAGGAAGAGCGGGGGACCAGTGGTCGCAGAGTCAGTGCCGGTTTGTCACTCCTCTGGCTGGGACAGGCGGGCATCCCTGCTGGCTGGAGCGGAGTGGTGAGCACCTGTGCACGCCCCGCCCCGCTGGCCCTGGGCACGGTGGGTGTTTAGAAAGTGCACACTGGGGCTGGTGGTTATGTTGATAAGACGACGGCACAGCACTCAGTCTGCAAAGTCCAGACTTCTGTCTCTCCCACCCCCTGGGAATTTCATAAATAAACCCCTGGACCTGTTCCAAGAAGAATTTCAAGGCTTCTCTGTGCGCGTGTGTTTCCAGAAACACAACAATTTTACATGCTGCCTGGTGTGCAAACTCCTATGCAAACCATGGGGGAAGTGAGGGCTGGGCCCCGAAAAGAGAAGGTAGTAGCCGGATCGGATCGGGCCAGGCTGGGTCAGGCAAGTGGCGGTTAACAGCCCGGTTCCAGTGGCTCTGCAGCTGGCTCCGATAACCTGGCTCCCAGACACCCCGTCGGCCCCAGGCTCAGGTTGCTCAGACCCCCCCTCCGCCCCCCGCTTTGGCAGTATTCTCCACTAGGTTTTTGCAAAGTGCTGGGGTCTTAAAATAGCATAAAGACACAGACACTCAGACTATAGTGTCAATTCCTGCACCATAGAATGATCGAAAAGGAGGGAGAGTGGAGGGCAGAGAGAGAACTCCAGGGAGTCCCGCTGTACGGGGAGCTGTGTGAGTGTGAGGATAGGTGGGAGACAGGGGTGGGCACTTGGTATGAGGGAGGGGATGGAGGAACAGGCAGGAGAAAACTCTCAGAGGGTAAGACCTGAGAACTTCATTTGAACCATTTCCAGGGCCCGGCCCAGTGTCTGGCACATGGACATTCAGTATATCCATTCCCAGGATAAACAAATGATGGGTGGACGCATGGATTTGCTAGAACATAAAATGATAGCAATATAGTCCAACTTCAGATGGCAAAATTGGAAACAGGTGCCCCAAAGTTGGAGGATTCTATCCATCAACAAGTGTTCATTGAATGTCAGGAGGGAAATGGATGCAGTGGGGTGTGTGATCTGTCTGGGGAAGGAGAGAGGAACACACCCAAGACGTGGGGCAGGTCTGGGGGGGTTTCCTGGAGAAGTCAGACCCTGAGCCTGTGCTGGAGGATGGGTAGAGTTCCCTGAGCGGGTGTTCTAGCCAGGGCTCCTCGTCTACAAGTCAAGCACACTCACAGCAGAGGGAGTGGAAGAGGATTTCCTGAAAAGATGCGTGGGAATCTCAAAGAAACCAATAGTGGGAAACACAGCCAGATCTCACGGGACCTGTCCAGACTTGAGGCTGGATATGTCTTGAGGACAATTTGACTATTACAGTGGTTGGGGCTGGAGGGCGTGTGTATACACGCGAGTCCTGGCAGGCACACCTGGGTAATCTCCCTCTCTCTTTCTCCTTCCCCCTCCTTTCCCCTCCTTCTCCCTGCCTCTGCTCCCTCCCCTTTCCTGGTTCGCCCTGCTGCCACATGGCCCAGCATGGCTTCCAGGCACTCCTCCACAGCACCCACCACCATCTAAGTAACTTGGTTTCTATGCCTCGTTAGTTCAAATGCTCATGAAAGAGCAACTGAATAGTTTATTTATTGCTTTCCCTTGGTTCAGATGCCCAACCCTAGTGCAATCATCTATGGCCAGAGGGCAGACTGTGCACTCACCTAGGAGAGGGGGTGTAGGCAGGTGAGAGCAATAGACTCTTGTCATTGGATGTAAAGGAGGGTGTAGGTACTCTGTAGGCAGGGGAGGACTATGAATGAGTACTTGATGTATGTGTGTGTGTATAAGAGGGGGGAGGGAGGGGGAGAGAGAGAGAGAGCGCAAGCGCTAGTGCAATAGGGGAGCTGTCAGGACTAGGATTAGCCAGGTGACCTTGGGCAAGTTTTTTGATCTCCTTACGCCTCAATTCCTCATCTCTACAAAGGGTAAATAGTAGTACTTCTCTCGTGGGCTTGTTGTGAAGGTTAAATAATCCACATTATTCAACTATCTGCTGATTGTCAAATAAAGTTATGAAACTGAAAAAAAAACCTGAAGCTCTTAGGACAGTAGATAGTTGATCTCCGGCCACCATTTTTATGTGCAGGGGGAAGTCGGTCTGGATGGATATCATGTAAAGGTCTTGACTGCCAGTTTGGAGTCTGTCCTGAACAAGTCACTTATCTTCTCTGGATTCAGTTTCTCCATCTGCAAAATGGCGGGATCCGACCAAGGCCTGCTCCAGATTTAGATTGCTGTGCATTTGGCTGGGTGCTATGAGGCAATAGGAGTCTGTGTGTTCTCAAGAAGTCAGATGACAAAATGAAAGGGACCTTCTCAGAACATAGGTATGCAGGGATGTGCCTGGTGACTGCAGGAAGGTGTGGCCAGGTCGTAGGGTGGTTGTAGCACTAGTAGCACCAGAAATGTGAGGGATGAGGCTCGGGCTGTGGCCTTACTGAGACCATGGAGAAGAGGAGCGCCAGACGGGCAAAAGCTCAGAGGTCCGCAACAAAAGAATGACCGGGAGAGCCACCCCATGGGCCACTGGACATGCCTGGATAGAAACTGGTGTGAGTCATGGAGGCTGAGAGCACGGGGCCTGTTTACCAAGGAGGCACTGGGGTAGAACACAGTCAGGGTGATGGTTAAAGAAACAAAGGAAGGCTTGCCTCTAAAATCATGGCACGGCCTCTGGAGCAGAAAGTGAGAAAAGCCTAGGGAGGGTTTTCTTCGAGAAGAATCAGCTCAGCACCATCCTGTGGAACTACTGAGCGCAGACTGCATGCTGCTACCACATCAGGTCCCTGACACTGACTAAGGCCTTTGGGCCCCTCGCGCCTGTAGCAGTCCCTCTAGCCAGCCTCCCAACCTCAGCCACCGGGCACTGTCAACTTCAACTTCCTTCTGTTGCCTAAGTGGCCCTCCTCTGCTTTGGTGAGCTCCCTGGCCCCTCTGTTCTCCCACCAGCCCCCAAACCCCACTTCTTACCCCTCCAGCCTCCAAACATCCCTTCTTTCAGTCCCACCCTGAGCTGCTGACCATTTCCAGGGGGAAATTGTACCATCAAAAGGAAGAGGCATGTTATGACTGCCACTCTTGTTCTGCAGCCCCGGCCTAGTGCCATTTGGGTGATCCTCTCCCACTTTTCTGTGTCTCTGGACACCACTCCCGCCCTCCACAGTGGTTTTACAGATTCTCACCTCTCTCTTAGAGCACATCTGCCATACGTGCCATCCTGCCTCTGACTATATTGTACCAAAACAGACGGCCATGACTGCAACTTGATGGAGAACAGCCAAGTGACCCTCTCATGCCTATAGACTTCTTTGTTCTGCTCCTGCCTCCAGCCTCTAGGAGGGTGATACTCTCCCCTGTGCCTTTGGGTCGTGATCCTGTGCCCTCGTCCTTCCTGGGTTCTGGTGCCACCACTCACTCCTCCTTCTTCTTGTATCTTTAAGCAACTCTTGGCTCCTTAATAATGATTTGAGTTGCAGTCTGTCCTTCCTTCTGAAACAGCAAGATAAAGGATCTTGTTTGGTGTCCTTCTGGAAATTCCCTTTTCTCTCTTTCTGTCGTCCAGTCTGGAATTGCATTTTTAAATTGGATTATTTAGCTTATTTATATTTATTACAATCATGGGTGTATTCGAACTTATTTTCACTATCTTATTTTGTGCTTTCTATTTATTCCAACTTAATATTATCTTTTTTCTTTCCTTTCTTGCTTCCTTTTGGATTATTTATATCTCATTCTATTTCCTTCCTTCTCTCATCCTGGAAGTTATATACTGTTGTTGTTCTATTAGTGAACATCTAACAATGAGCAAAATACACAGGAGCTCGTACAGAACTTACACATTTTAGTAAAGATCTAACTTTTGAAAGACATTTTCTATGAGTATACAATTCTAAACTGACTGTTATTTTTTGTTTTTGGATTTAACTATGTAGATTACATTTCTTTTTTAAAAAATGATTTTTAGCTTTCCAACCTGGGCCTGGCATAATGGCTCCCGCAAAGAAGGGCGGTGAGAAGAAGGGCCGTTCTGCCATAAACGAGGTAGTGACCGGAGAGCACACCACCCACATGCACGAGTGCATCCACGGAGTGGGTTTCAAGGAGCGTGCCTCTCGGGCACTCAGAGCCAGCCATTTGCCTTGAGGGAGATGGGAACTCCAGATGCGCGCCTTGACACCAGGCTCAACAAAGCCGTGTGGGCCAAAGGAGTAAGGAATGTCCCCACCGTATCCGGGTGCGGTTGTCCAGAAAACCTGATGAGGACGGAGGTTCACCAAATGAGCTCTGTATGCCGGTTGCTGACCTACCTACCTGTCACCACTTTCAAAAATCTACCCACAGTTAATGTGAATGAGAACTAACTGCTGATTGTCAAATAAAGTTATAAAACTGAAAAAAAAAGATTTTTATTTATTTTTTGGGAGAAAAGGATAGGGAGGGAGCAAGACGGGGAGAGAGACATCAATTGGTTGTCTCTCATATGCTCTGCAACCGGGACCAAACCTGTAACTCAGGCATGTGCCCTGTCCGGGAATTGAACCAGTGGCTTTTGCTTTGCAGGATGATGCCCAATCAACTGAGCCACACTGGTCAGGGTGACTATGTAGATCATATTTCTTGGAATTTTGTCTGTGAGAATTTCTTCTAGCCTGAGTTGAAGATGGGTTCCTCTGAAGCGGATCTGCTCTTCTTTCTTCCGGGTCCTACCAGGGAGTGCTAGCAGCCGGGACCACTTGAACCTAAATAACATGGTTTTTCAGACCACCCAGGGAGGGAGAATGTGGAATGAAATTAAATCATGAAGGCCAGCTTGGGGTTATGAAACCCCAAGGAAGATTTCCCCCCATTCTCACTCAGAGCTAAGATTCAAGACTGGCGATTCTGCTTGCAGCCCCCCTCAGGGAGAGCGTTCCTAGTTCATAGGTCGAATGAGGTCATGATTGCCCTTGTGGGTCATGGCTTTGTGCGGATGGTCACTTGTTAGACTGCCCACCTTGGGCAGGCCTAGGTTTTGTGTCCTGTCTCCTGTGTCCAGCTCACCTTAGAAAACTAAAGTTCAAGTTCACCTGGGATACTGATGTTCTCACGGGAAAAGCCCGCTTTTGTGCTCGGCTCTCCTCTCTTTGTTCCTTAGTTTTGACCTGAGTGTTCACTTTCTTGCTAGTTTGTCAAGCATTTTGAGTTGTTTCTTCAGCAGCTTTGCTCAGCTCCGGGAACCTGGTCCAGCATTCTGAAGGA